GACGAGCCGCTCGTCAAAAACGAGTCGAGAAGGCTCTGCTCGCCTACCGAGCCGGCCTGCTCGGCTCGTGCTCAAGCTCGTTTTTTGAGGAGCTCGAGCGGTTCGTGGGCCGCTACAGTACGAGCCGAGCCGACGACCCGCTCGGCTCGATTGCCACCACTACCAAGAATGTGCAATTGGCTAGAAGAATTAAGGAGTGAAATGTCTTATATTTTATCTAGGATTAGGGTTGAATCTTTGTCGGGATGAAGTGCAATAAATCTTTAATTTTAGGCCCGAATTGAAACTTGTAATCACATATGTAACAATTTTGTGGGAATTTATTGCTTAACGGAATTTTGTGTATAAAACGAAAGATAAAAAACCAAACTTCTTCCCTATTCATTCTCATCTGGTCGCCATAATCATCATCTCAACAAGAGTGTAGATCTAGTATGCCGTTGCCACATCGACATACTCGGTCATGTAAAGATCCCACCTCACAATTGTGATTAAGCTAGGGAGTCAAAACTTTACTTTTAAAGCCTTGTTTGGTAGGTGTTAAAATCAAGTTTTTAGTAAACCTTAATAGAAGTGGATGAGATTTGTGGTTGAAATGTAAAATATATGATTAAAATTAATTATTGACTTTGATTTAAATTAAAATCTAGATTTTACTTGATATCAAACGGGGAGCTAAATGTTATCGAGCTAATGCTACACTATATGAAATGTTGAGGGCTCAATCCTAATTTTTCCTTTACTTTTCATAGGATGTGAATCAAGAAAAGACAAAAGAGCAGGGGTCAATGAAGATTCCTAAAACTTCAAGGGCATCAATATAATTCTGGAAAACATTTTGCCACTTCTGGAAGCGTATAGAACAAAGATTACAGAACCTCCTAGAAACGTCACCGTTTTCTTCCATTACCCTCCAGAAACTTCTTATTCTTCTTCCATTCCTCTCCTATATAAACCCAGCCATCTATCTCAACATTGCAAGTTGTTCTGAGAAGCAGAAGCAGCACATAAATAAGCAAAAAGCAGCCAGAAACAGCAGATTGTTCTCGTACAAGAAACAATGGATTTGAGGTTACTGGGATTCGACGCTCCTATCTTACACGCCGTCCACGATATGCTCGACGCCACCGGCGAAGAATCAGACAAGTCGATGACTGCGCCGACCAGAACCTACGTCCGAGACGCCAAGGCCATGGCGGCGACTCCGGCTGACGTGAAAGAGTACCCAAATTCTTACGTCTTCTTGGTCGACATGCCGGGGTTGAAATCCGGCGACATTAAAGTTCAAATCGAGGATGGAAATGTGCTTGTGATTAGTGGGGAGAGAAAAAGGGAGGAGGAAAAAGAAGGCGCCAAGTATGTGAGAATGGAGAGGCGAGTAGGAAAATTGATGAGAAAATTTGTGCTGCCGGAAAATGCTAATGTAGATTCCATTAAAGCTGTTTGTCAAGATGGGGTTTTGAGTGTTACTGTTGAGAAATTGCCCCCTCCTGAACCCAAGAAGCCCAAGACCATTGAGGTTAAAGTTGCTTGAAATTAAGCTGGGAATCTTCTATTATAAGTGTTTATTAAAATAAGCTGAACTTTTAATTATGAGTGCTACTAGTAGTAGTAGTAGAAGTTTGGGTTTGTAATAATGTTGATTGTGCTCTGTCTAAGTTATCTATATTCCAAGTGATCAAGTAATGCGATTTTATGTTTGTTTTGCCCCGGTCTAATAATTTTCGTACTCTCTCTCCCCCGGGCTCTCTCTAACTTCTCCCTCTTATATCCCTTTATCCCTACCATCAGAAACTTTCGAGGAGACCACCACATATGTCGTGACTAAAATTAATTCGAAAAAAGATGATTAAGACAAAATTACTAGAGTTAGGTGCATAGGCAACCGCTTGAATTTCATGCACCCATATTTCATTTCGTGAAATCGATTCACTCAACTGAGGCCTATGTTAGCATATGTATGTTTAATTAAAATAAGAGGAAATTGCAAAAAATGTCAACTTTTGTAGTCATTTGAAGAAATGTCCAAAAATTCTTCAATGTCCATTTTACTATAATATGGATCAAAATGCCCTCATTAACAATTTTAAAT